TCCTTACTTTACACTATTCCACCTGTACATTTTTGCTGTTTTCCCATACTTGGTAACTCTTTCTTTCATTTTCTTAATATCCAGATTTTACCCACCCTCCAAGATTCAGTTCTGATCCTTATCGCTTTCATTTATTGAGTGAATAATTTCTATGCTCACATCAAGTCCTATACTATGTGTTAGGCACAACTCAGTAAATAATGGTGGTTTAAGCTCATATCCTGGTGAAGATAGAAGACACTTGATTATCTATTAATATGCCATAGACACCTACAGATATTACTACAAAGGCAATATTCTGTAGAAATAATAGATTTCCATTGAGTGATAGCTCCTTACTGAGTTCGCCATTTTGAAAAGCAGCCTAAAGTATTTGAGATGAAAATTAAAATATAAGGAGTCAGATACCCCATGAACTTACCAGAATAATCAGGTATATATAAATTTTGGATAGTCAAAAAACTGGAGCAAGACAAGAGTGGTAGAAAGTAGTTATGGTGATCCCACAAGTTTTTTCAGTCTACAGAAATCCTTCCTATGAATACATTTTTCTTACCATGAAAAACACTCCTTAAATTCTTTGGTACAGATTATTTATAATGTCTTGTGAATATGATTATTTATAAAGTCATATGCTTTTAATCATAATGCTTTCCAGGGTAAGATTCCATGAGCACAAGTAACTTGGTTTCTGTGGTTCCCATACTCACTGTCAGTAACAGCCCATTGAAAGTGAGAACAGTAATTATTAATTAAGAACTCTATATAATGACTCAGCTTTTCATAGCTCAGTGTCAGGACAACCAAACACATATAGATACATATGAAAAATTTGCTGGTGACTTGATAATTCTCTAGTGCACGCGCGTGTGCACACACACACACACACACACACACACACACACACACACACCCCTATGTTTGGGGAAAAACCATCTATTGGTACTCACCCAGACCTTGTTGGAAAACTGTCTTCCAACCATCATTCCCTTCTATGCAGTCCTATTCCATCTGCATCTACATATAAGCAGATTTCTCCCTGCTTTGAACACTTGGCCTCCAGCTAAAGGTGAGCTCATGATAGTTTTTAAAAAATTAATACAGGGCTGGAGAAATTGTACAGGGGTTACGATGCTTGCATGCTTGCCTAGCATGTAGCCAGCTCCTGTTCAATCCCTGGCATTGCATGTGACTCCCCCACAACCATCACTAACAATGACCCTGTGTCAGAAATCCTTAGGACTATGGATGTGAAAATGTGGGCAGGCACTGTAGGGAATAAGGAGGGGAAGAAGTAGAATTTTCATAAAAGGGATAGACAGCTAACAGTCCCCTGGGTAAGGGAGCCAACCAGAAGGAATGTCCTTTTCTAGTTTAATCCTACTTCCTGCCCCTGCGACCATGTTTGCTGGGGACTAAGATTACATAAACTGATTGCCTTTAGCTCTCAGTGCTCAGACTCTGGATATGAATCCTTAAGGTGGTGTCAAGAAGTTTAATGAAGCTGTCCCTTGAGAAAGCCCTGGCGCTTGTGCTTTTTACCAGAGCGTTCTGTAACAATCTGAGCATGGAGCCAACAGTAAGCGCTAAGCACAGCTGGGCACAGCCCAACTCCCCTGCAAAAAAATAAATGAACACAGTTCTAATTCATATATAACTTATACCACAGTTAACTAGAAACCATTCAAATAAATGAAAAGAACAATGATAATATTTAAGATTTTAATACATTATAATGCATTTTACTTCAGAGAAAGTGATATGATTGGATAGGCTTCATTATATTTTTAATATATCAGTTAAATCCTTTTGTAACGCAGTAACTTTAAGTTTTAAGTTTATTTCACTTGAAGATGTGGTTCAATTACTCCATCACTGAAAATGGCCTCAAAATGACCTATGAGTATAAGGAAGAGAGGCAACCTTAGTAGCATTTAGTAAATCATAATATTCTTTCCCATCAACTATTTAGCTAATAGTATTCTATTTTTTCCTGATGACCATAAGTTATTCTTGCATCTTAATGTGAAGCGCTACATTTCTCTAGGTTTAGACAAATATGTTTAAGACCTATAACAATCAAAAGAATCAATCTCTTTGTTTATTTATTTATTTATTTATTTTGGCAGGAGGTTTTTGGGCTCACACCTAGCAATGCTCAGGACTTACACCTCGCTCTTTGCTCAGGAATCACTACTGTCAGGGTTCACCGACCTTGTGGGGTGTGGTCATCCTGTGCAAGTTGAGGGTCCTACCCACTCTACTGTCACTCCAAACACCTTTTAAAAATATGTGATTTATAGAACTGGAGCAATAGCATAGCGAGTAGGACATTTGCCTTGCATGTGACTGACCCAGGTTTGATTCCCAGCATCCCATATAGCCCCCCAAGCACTGCCAGGAGTAATTCCTGGTGCATAAGCCAGGAGTACCCCCTGTGCAATGCCAGGTGTGACTCAAAAAAAGAAAAAAAATAGTGATTGATGGGGCTGGAGCAACAACACAAGTGGGTAGGTACTTAATTATTAAGTGGATACTTAATTATAACCCAATCTATGACTAAAATCATATTTTAAAACCTTTTAAAATGTTTTTGCTAACTTCATATTTAATGAGTTAGTTCTGGTTTTGTTGCATGATTTTTTGGCTTTTGTGGGTTTTATCTGGGGGTGGATGGAATTGGTAGAAACCTCTTTAAAAAAAAAAAGCAAAAGAACAGATACAATCAAAATAAAAAAAGATCCATGGACTAAGAGCTAGGATTGCAAAACTGAGAATAACAAAGCTATTAAAATATAACTGAGATTACCAAAGATATTGGACTGAGATTTTCAAAGAAAGGCATTGGTCTGAGATTATCAAAGGAAAGGAGAGGCCTCAAAGACTGGAGGGTGGGACAGATTGTACAGTGTGTGGGGCACTTGCCTTGACCCAGCTGATGTGGGTTCAATCCCAAGCACCCCATATGGTCCCCAGAGAACCACTAGGGGTGATCTCTGACTGAACAGCCAGAAGTTTTCCCTAAGCATAGTTCAAAATCTGACTCAAAAACAAAGACAAAAGGTACCCAGGGGACTATGGTGAAAGGATACCAAGGGTTCCTTGGTGGAAGATGTAATTTAATAATATTATAAAGAGGAGTCCAATGTTTTCTCAATCAAAAAAATAATTTTTTAAAAAATAAATAACCATTCCTGAAGAGGATTTTGTTTTTGTTTAGTAACACTTTGCTCACACTATTTAATTGCACTGAAAAAACTATTTATCTGCCCTGAAAATGTCAGCCAACATAGAAAGCTCCTGAAAGTTATATATTTGTAGGCCAGGGTGGTCTCAAAGGGCTGAGTGCATGCATTGGTAAGCACATACTTCATTACTGAATCTTAAAAAAATCTTTGTCTTTAAAGATTGATACTAAAATTAACCACATTAAAGACTTCCCATAACTATGGGTTTCAACTTCAACTTGTTTTGCTGAAATGTTTTATCTGTAAGTTATACAGTTAATGGATTTCTCCTATGACATACTCAATAACTTAACCTAGACTTAAAATCCTGTTTTCCCACCAATCAAAACAGTCTTTCTGTGAATGATTATAATTGCGTTTCTGATAAAATACTGTTTAATAAGTCACTTCCACTTGAGAGTATGCCTTCTCCAATATATTTTTCTTATGCCGAGTTACAGAATTGCCCCTCTTCCATCACAAATATTTAAACTTCATTTCACTGTGACTGCATCACTGTCATCCTGTTGTTCATCGATTTCGTCAAGCAAACACCAGTAACGTCTCCTTTGTCCTAGCCCTGAGATTTTAGAAAGGACCACATTCGCGACTCTTTCAGGGTCAGGGGAATGAAGCCCATCATTGTTACTGGCTTTTGGCATATTGAATATGCCAAGGGAAGTTTGCCAGACTCTGCCATGCAGGTAGGATACTCTCAGTAGCCTGCCGGATTCTCCAGAGTAAGAACTAGATAATAAGATGCGACCGCAAGCTTCTGGGAGCTGGGTTTTATAGTCTCTGGGTCTTGGCCGTTGGTGGGATTACACAGCACTGGGGACAGTTGGTGGGTGTAATGCCTACATATTGGAAGATGGGGGATCTGGGTGGAAGAGGCCCAGTCCCGTTCCGATCCGAGCAGGCTTGGAGATCTCAGCCCCGGGTCCCGCATGCCTGGGTTCCTCTGCCGGTTCCTTCATGTGTGAGGCTCATCTGAACGAATGGAGAGTGGTCTCAGCATGGCTGTGGCTGGTTCCGGAGTTCTTCAGCTGCCGGGGCTCTACTTGGGGCAGGGAGGGAAGTTCAACCCACTCCCTCCAAGGGGCCCCAGTGGGGAGAGCCAGGCGTGGGGGCAGGAGACTCTGCACTGTTCTCTAACAGGAGCTGCCTAATTTAGTAAATATTATTCTCCAACTTATTGTTAAATATGTAAACATTCCTTCAACTATACAACTTTTCATATTCTGTTATTTTAGCTTTCCACTTCAAGCCATCAGCAACGTTTTCTATTATGTCACTCAAACATTCAGTGATCAATTAGTTGACTTCTATGATAATTTTTATTGGGTTAAGTTGGTCATTATGCCATTCTGAAAGGGTTGACTGTTTTCCAGTTGGCAGGTGGCTGATAGATTTTGTTCTTAACTAAGAAGTCTCAAGGGGGAGTTGGTAAAATTTTGTAAAAAACAAGATTCTAAGACATTAAAGTTTTCTAAACAAAATTTTGTAGGACTATACCCTTTATTTTCAAGGTATTTAATTCTTATATGACTTGCTGTTAGGGATACTACAATTACAGTTAGTCAATACCCTCTTTGTGTTTTGAGGTACTACATTTTCCCTCTGAAATAAACACACACACACACACACACACACACACACACACACACACACATGCACGCCCACAACACGATTTATGTCTTTCATTAAACCTGGAACATCGCTAACATTATCTCTTTAAGTATTACCTCTAATGTTCTCTCCTTATAACATTTTTTTAATATGGGATACTTCATGAAGTCATGCATCATCCTTAGGCAGGGCCATGCTAATCATCTCTATCATTCCATTTTTAGTGTATGTGCTGCTGAAGTGAGCTCTTGCCATAATACTCTTAATAGGACCCAGGCCTCCTTTCTCTACTGCTAATCTTTCTTTCATATTGTTCTTTTGCCTTATCTTCCTGTGAGATATAATATTCCTATGATAAATAGATAAATAAATTTTTCAGCTGTAACTCTCAGTTTAGTCAATGGAAAATCTCATCTACAGTAGAAAAGTCTGTGGGTGAATTTAAAAGATTAATTTCAAGGATTTATTGTTTCATTTATGAACCTGATCTGGTTCTTTTCAATCTGGTTTTAGTTTGTTTTTAGCATAATACCCTGTCCTTCTATTATGATTTTGATATCCTGTTTTATGCCTAATATTTAAAAAAATTAATAGTTTTTCTGACTAATTCCTAAAGGGCTATGTCCTTACATAGCTTATGATTCCGGCTTATGAACTAATTCAGTGAAGATTTATCTGTGGGAATATTACGAAGCCTAGATTTGAGGGATTAAAACATCAAAGAGGGTTTACATTTTATTGCCAGCTTCCTCAAACAGCTTTCTAACAAGTGTCTTTTTAATGCTAATATCTACATTAATAAATACATTTAAGAGTTCCGAGATCACACAGAATGTATGTTTGAACCTCAGATATGAACGGTGGTATTCCTATGCTCAAAAACTCTAAGGAACATTTCTTTTTATCAAGAGCTACAAAAAGGGCAAAATTACTTGACATCTCTCTTTGTTAGAATTTTTTTTACCTTAGTCTCTTACCATTTTTAAACGAAAGGCAACCAGAACAATGTTCCTTAATCAAAAGGATAATTCCAGGGTTTAGGCAACATATCTATATGAAGAGCATCTTACTTACTAAGAAAGTAGGGAAATTCTTAAGGAATGATGAAAATAAGAAAGATATGTAAAGAAAAATGTTTCTTTTATTTTTATTTTTATTTTGAGTTTTGGTTCACAGTCTGGCCTTACTCTTGGCTGTGGACCCAAGAATAACTTCTGACAGCCCATACAAAAACCAGTTTTAAGGGCCTCATTTGATGAACATGAGGCAATTTGAGCTTCAAAATAATATTAATGGGTTATAATTCATAAAGGCATGGAGAGATAGCACAGTGGGTTGGGCGTTTGCCTTGCATATGGCCAACCTGGGTTTGATTTCTCTGTCCCTCTTGAAGAGTCTGGCAAGCTACCTAGAGTATCCCACCCACACGGCAGTCCCTGCAAGCTCCCCCATGGCATATTCGATATGCAAAAAAAAGTAACAACATATCTCACAATGGAGATGTTACTGATGCCTGCTTGAGCAAATCAATGAACAACAGGAGGACAGTGCTACAGTGCAGTGCTATAATTCATAAAGCTTTGTTATAAATAAAAGGAGGGAGAGTTTCTTCTAATAGAATTCCAATAAATACAGGAAATGCTTGATTTTAAAAAATCATTAATGAATACTAAAATAAGTGTTGATTTTTTTTTAATTTTTATTAGTGAAATACCTTGTAGACTTATAAATTTCTGTGCCTGGGTTTTAATTATACAATGATCAAGTACCCAGCCCTCCACCAGTGCCCATTCTCCATCACCACGGATCCCAGTATCTCTCCCACGCCCATCCTGCCATCCGACACTGCCTCTGTGGCAGGGCATTGCCTTTTGTTCTCTCTCTCCTTTTGGGTGCTGTAGTTGGCAAAAGAGGCATTGAATGGCAATCATGTTTGGTCTATAGTCTACTTTCAGCATGCATCTCCCATCCTGGGGTATCATTGTAAGGATCGCATTGAATTTGTACAGTGCTTTGGGAAGTATTGCCATTTTGACAATGTTAATTCTCCCGATCCATGAGCAGGGGATATCTTTCCATTTTCTCATGTCCTCTTTTATTTCCTGAAGTAGCGTTTTGTAATTTTCTTTGTACAGGTTCTTTACTTCCTTAGTTAAGCTGATTCCCAGGTACTTGATTTTCCGGGGCACAATTGTGAATGGGATTTTTTTTTCATATCACTTTCTTCTCTCTCACTATTTGAGTATAGGAAAGTCATGGACTTCTGCGCATTGATTTTATAGCCTGCAACTTTACTATACAATTCTATTGTTTCTAGGAGTTTCTTGGTAGAGGTTTTAGGATGCTCTAAGTATAGTATCATAGCATCTGTGAATAGTGAGAGTTTGAATTCTTCCTTTCCTACCTGAATGACCTTAATATCTTTTTCTTGCCTAAACGCTATTGCAAGTACTTCCAGTACTATATTAAACAGCAGTGGAGTGAGTGGGCATCCTTGTTTTGTCCTTGATCTTAGAGGGAAGGCTCTCAGTTTTTCCCCATTGAGGATGATGCTTGCTGTAGACTTGTGGTAGATGGCCTCAACTATATTGAGGAAAGTCCCTTCTATCCCGCTTTTGGTGAGGGTGCTCATCATAAACTGGTGCTGGATCTTGTCAAATGCTTTCTCTGCATCTATTGATATTATCATATGGTTTTAACTTTTCTTTTGTTGATATGATGGATTATGTTGATTGATTTCCAGATGTTAAACCATCTGTTCATCCCCAGTATGAATCCCACTTGGTCATGGTGTATGATCTTTTTGATGAGTTGTTGAATTCCATTTGTTAGTATTTTGTTGAGAATCTTCGCATCCAGGTTCATCAGGGATATCAGCCTGTAGTGTTTTCTTTTCTTGTGTTGTCTTTGCTTCCTTTTGGTATGAGAGGGATATGGGCTTCATAGAATCTGCTTGGGAGGGTTTCTGTTTCTTCAATTTTCTGGAAAAGCTTAGGAATGACTGACAATAGGTCATCTTTAAATGTTTGGAAAAATTTGTTGTGAATCCATCTGGACCTGGGCTTTTGTTTTTGGAAAGACTTTTGATTACAGTTTCAATTTCCTTGATGTTAATATGTCTATTCAGGTACTCTAGATCTCAGTCTTGGGATATTATAGGAATCCAGGAATTTATCCATTTCTTCCAGGTTCTCTTGTTTCGTGGCATACAGACTTTCAAAGTAGTCTCTGATGATCTTTTGAATTTCTTTGGTTTCTGTTGTTATACCCCCCTTATCATTTGTAATTCGTTTTATTAGGGTTCTCTCTCTCTCTCTTTCTTTGTGAGTCTTGCTAGTCGTTTATCTATCTTGTTTATCTTCCCAAAGAACCAGCTCTTGGTTTCAATGATCTTTTGAATTGTTTTTTTGGTTTCCATGTCATTGATTTCTGCTCTAAGTTTTATGATCTCTTTCCTTCTGCCTGATTTGGGCTCCTTTTGTTGGTCCTTTTCTAAGATCTTGAGCTGTGAAGTCAAGTTGTTTATGTGGGCCCTTTCATCCTTCCTCAGAAATACTTGCAGAGGTATAAATTTTCCCCTTAACACGGCTTTAGCTGCAACCCATAGGTTCTGGTAGCATGTGTTTTTATTCTCATTTGTTTCCCCAGATATCTTTTGATTTCATCCTTGACTTCCTTCCTAACCCACTCTTTCAGCTTTAAGTTGTTTAATTTCCAGGTGTTTGGTTTGGTTCTCCGTGTCTGTGTGTGATTCACTTCTATTCTCAGTGCATCATGGTCTGAAAAGATTGTTGATACTACTTATATCTTCCTGATTCTATTGAGGTATGATTTGTTGCCTAGCACATGGTCTATTTTGGAAAAATAGAGTTTTTTAACTCTAAAAACTGAGTTTTTTAGCCCGATTTTGGAAGTATTCTGTGTGCACTGGAAAAGAATGTGTATTCTTTCTTTTTGGGGTGTAAAGCCCTGTATAGGTCTATAAGCCCTCTATCTTCTATTTCTTCCTTCAAAGCCAATGTTTCCTTGCTGATTTTTGTTCTTGTTGATCCATCCAGAGGTGATAAGGCGATGTTGAAGTCTCAGGCTACTATTGTGTTGGTAGGAATGTCCTCCTTAAAATATGTTAATGGTTGTTTTTAAATATTTAGCTGTCCCCTCATTTGGTCCATATACATTTAAGAGTGTGATTTCTTCCTGTTGTATGTTTCCCTTGATGAACAGAAAATGGCCTACGCTGTCCCTTCTAATCTTTTTCAACCTAATTTTTATGTTGTCGATACTAGTATGGCCACCCCAGCTTTTGTGAGGGAGCTGTTTGCTTGCAGGATTGTTTTCCATCCTTTCACTTTGAGTCTGTATTTGCTCTGACTGTTGAGATTAGTTTCTTGTAGGAAGAAGAATGTTGGATTCTGTCTCTGAATCCATTTTGCCACTCTGTGTCTCTTAATTGGTGAATTTAGACTGTTGGCATTGAGAGAGATTATTGTTATGGGGTTTTGTGTCATCTTTCTGTAAGGGTCTGTTTTGCTGGTAGGGTTTGTCTTGTCTTACAATAGCCCCTTTAGCCCTTCTTTTAGGTTTGGTTTTGAGTCTATGAAGTTCCTGAGCTGCTGTTTATCTAGAAAATAGTGTACCATTCTTTCGAATTTGAGTGAGAGTTTAGCCAGATAGAGTATTCTTGGTGAAGAGTTCATTTCAGTGAGTTTTTTTTACTATACCCCACCATTGCCTTCGGGCTTGGAGGGTTTCCTCTGATAGTCTGCTGTGAATCTAAAGGGTGCTCCTTTGTATTTGATTTTTTTTATTGACCTTGCTCTTGCAGTATTGTATCTCTATATTGGCATCCATGATTCTAACTATGATATGTCTTGGAGTGTTTTTGTTAGGTTCTCTTTTAGCTGGCACCCTTCGGGCTCCTTGAATCTGAAAGGCTGCATTATCCAGCTCTGGGAGTTTGTCAGCAATGATTTGTTTATCCAAGGCTTTTTCAATGGGATTGATTCCCTGAGCTTCTGGTATTCCAATGATTCTAATGTTGTTCCTCTTGGAATCATCTCCTAGGACTCTGATTCGCTCCAGAGTTATTTTGAAGTCTCTTGCCATTGTTTGTTGTTGCCTGTTGGCTTGGTGCAGCTGATCTTCCAGTTCATCGATTCTGTTTTCAGCTGTGGTCATTCTACTGTTGAGGGCACAAACTGAGTTTTTTATTTCATCTACAAAATCTTTTATTCGTGACATTTCTGTG